CCAGAAAAGAATGAAAAATACCATATGATATCACTTATATATGGAACCTAAAAAAAAATACAAATGAACTCATTTACAAAACAGAAACAGACTCACAGACATAGAAAACAAACTTATGGTTACCAGAGGGGAAGGGATTAGGATGGGATAAATGGGGAGTTTGAAGCCTGCAGATACTAACTAATATATATAAAATAGGTAACCAATAAGTTCATACTGTATAGCACAGGGAACTATATTCAATATCTTATAGTAACTTGTGGTGAAAAAGAATATGAAAACAAATAAATGTATGTTTGTGTATGACTGAAGCATTATGCTGTACACCAGAAATTGATACAACATTGTAAACTGTCTATACTTCAATAAAAATATATATTAAAAATTTTAAATCAATCATTGTTTATCATTTAATGAGGGAAATGGAGCTTGTTAAGTGAGTATTATTTTAGTTGTTCAGAAACGATAGGAGTACTTTCCTAAAGGAAGTCGCAGTGCCCTGATTTGGCATTTCCTTAAAATGATCTGAAACAATTAAATGACAGCTGTAAACCTGCCACCCACTTGGAACCTTAGGTGGGTCACCGCACTCCCAGGCCCTGTTTTGTCAGCTGGGTTATGATGTGGTTTCAGAACAAACCTTTAAGCATGGTACATCCCTTCCTCCAAAACTGACATAAACCCAGAAAGCTTCTTAACGATGCCTCTAAAATATACCAAAAGTATACTCTGCGGAATATTTTTCTTTTATTGAAGTACAGTCAGTTACAATGTGCCAATTTCTGGTGTACAGCATAATGTCCCAGTCAATGCATATATACATTTTTCTCATATTCTTTTTCATTAAAGGTAATTACGAGATATGAATATAGTTCCCTGTACTATACAGAAAAAATTTGGGTTTTATCTGTTTTTTATATATAGTAGTTAACCTATGCAAATCTCAAATTCCCAAATTTATCCCTTCCCACCCCCTTTCCTCCCGTAACCATAAGATTGTTTACTAAGTCTGAGAGTCTGTTACTGTTTCATAGATAAGTTCATTAGTGTCTTTTTCTCCTTTTAGATTCTACATATGAGTAATATCATATGGTATTTTTCTTTCTCTTTCTGGCTTACTTCACTTAGAATGACATTCTCCAGGTCTATCCATGTTGCTGCAAATGGCATTATTTTATTCTTTTTTATGGCTGAGTAGTATTCCTTTGTATAAATATGCCACAGCTTCTCTATCCAGTCATCTGTCAATGGACATTTTGGTTGTTTGCATGTCTGGCTATTGTAAATAGTGCTGCTGTGAACACTGGGGTGCATGTATTTTTTTCTAATCAGAGTTCCCTCCTGATACATGTCTATGGCATATTTTTGACTTGTTTATCTAAAATCCTTAGTTTTCCAAATTTCCCTTCATGATCCACTTTGGAATGATGGTCACCAGTCTAGCTGAGAAAAGCAAAATGTCTCACCTGGACAGGACCGCCCCGTGACTTCCACCAGGTACAGGAGCCTGCCTCCGCTTTGGCCCCCAGGATATCAGACTCTTGTGTCCCTAAGCATCACTTCTTCTACCTGCTGGTTCTCAGGATGCTCTGAGCTAAGTTCTGGAGTGGACCTGAGCATCAGCGTTTTAACAGGC